CAAAACATTTAAGGATTAGTCATAAGTATTCCAAGTCAAATCCATCAATGCAAATACAGTTCTGAAATGTCACTAGACAAATTAGGAATCCCCCCTCAAGAGCAGAGCTCTCCTGGATCCTTCCTCTGACCAGCCCTGGTGAAAACTAGTGAACTGCACAGCTCAATCCCAGCACGTTTCTTCCCTCATCACAAGTTCGAGTGATTGTGAGCACTCTCGGGGGGGTGCCACAGAACTGAGACATATTTTTCAATTCCATACAAGGTGCTTTATTAGCATGGCCGATGGGTATAATCAGTGTTGCCAAAGCAAATAAAAATTCACATGGAACAAAACAACAACAAAAAAATCTACAGACATCTGCAACAAAGACATATCATAGAATATTTACATATACTGTAAACATATTGAGCATTATTGGGAGACAGACTCACTGTTCCTCAGGCTGTGACAGGAGATCACATACTGGGCTGCCAGTTCAACTGAGTTCCCTCCTGCCTCTCCCAGTAGGATTAAGACCTGTTGTGATTCTGGCAGGTGTGGGAACTCTGGGACTAGATTTCTGAATTTAGGGATGATTTTTCTCTAATATACCTTTGCCTTCGTGAGCATCAAGAAAGCATAACAAACATATTTACAGTATACACAGTATAAGAGACCTGTGCTTCCTAGATTCGTGGCCGTGTGATTTCGCTAATCTCCGTGCTTCCCAAATCCCCAAACTCTGCAATGCCCTGGAAATGGAGATGAACCCCAGTGAGCACTTTCTATCCTTATTCTGCTTTCAGAAAAGCATCTTAGGCAGCCCACATTGTCCAAACGTCCAAATATCAAAACACATGATCAAGAGGAAGGTAATGGACTTGTTTGGCTTCTAATAGCATATAGGCATAAGGATCTCGTGAAACCAGTTACTGGAGGTAATGGTTTCCAATTGCATGGAGGGGCAGTTCCATTCAGACACCACCTGTTGTGTAAAGAAGGCTCTTAGTCCTAAATGTATTCTCGAATTTCTGCTTCTACATTCTGCTACTAGTTTCATTGTTGTTGAATTAATCCATCAAGTTCAATCTGGCAAGGTTTCAGAATTTAGAATACTTGTTTCTAGACACCCTGTTCCAAAATGAAGAGATTCAGCCGAGTTTAAATGTGCATGGCGTTCCTTTTTAATATCCTACAAGGTGCCAATGTTAACCTCATGCTGATTCTGTCTGTTCCATGCACAGCACAGCGCAGGTGTATATTGCAGGGCAAGACATCTGTTTATTTAGGTCTAGTGTCTGTATGACAGCTAATCGGTTTTCCATACAAAGCATCGTGGGCCCTTTGAGAAGGACATGAATTACACTATCAGCTTCTCAAAATACACAAATAGAAGCCTTATGAAGACTGCTTTAAAAATATTCAGTATGGCCATGTGCTACATTCAATAATATCCATTTCATATCTGTCAACTGGCAACAATAACTGCTAGCCCATCTTCTGCTTTACACAGGGAACATTAAGTTAATACATCACTAAGTCTCTTAGATCAACCAAAAGGTAATGTGAATACAAGCTACCTCTCATGTGGTTAAAGCAGATACCCTTTTTTGAAAAAAAAAATGGCTGGATGAGATCCTAAGATCAATTATTTACTAACTACTGCACCAAACAGCCTAGAGGGGCTAACTCCTCTCATTTGCAATCCCCGTTCTCATAAACCTATTAAAAAGACTAAACACAGAGAAGTCAATACAACTCTGAAATGGGTTTTCCAAACCAGACTAAAAACTAAGACAGGTTTCAACCAATGATGGACAGAGCAGTCCACTGTGGTTCAAAAGAAGGATGAAGGTAAAATATCAAAAGAAAAGCCATGTTGACGCTCTTCAGAGATCAGTACACAATGGTGCATTTTTCATCATCATTCACCCATCATTCAGGTGGCAGCTACACATTAGTGGCAGTTCAAGGAGTCTCATTAGCTGTACAGTGCTTTGAGTAGAGTATCCAGAAAAGTGCCATGTAAGTATAAAAAATTAAGATGATGATATAGTGTTCTTAATTTTAAAAGGACATTAAAATAATTAATGGCTATATCAATTCAACATTTGTGCTGGAAACGCGTTTTCTAGAACACAGAGTGCTGGATGTGTTAATTTTGTTAATTTACTTTTTAGCTACAAAAGAAAGGAGATCTCAGAGCTGAAGTGATCAGTCTAATAACATGCACTGCCCAGATGCCCAGATCCCCAGAATACACTCCCTATTCTACTGATACTTCCTGGTTTTGTAGCCAATAGTTTTTCCACTTTGGAGAAAACACACACACACCAACGGAAAATCAGCAGCTTTACTTGAATAAAATTAGAAAACAGTACTGTGGTCACTCATGTGCAGTGTGAGTAACTCTGTGGTACTGTAGAAGAGGAAACATCTCCTCCTCTGGACTAACACAAGATGCTTTGTGTTACTCCTAAACCCTTTTGCCTAAACCCTCTTCCTTTCTGTATGAGTGCTTTTCTCCAGTCACATTCCACTCAATCATTTTCAGCACTATTTGCACAGAAATTACAGTAGCTCACAGCTTAGTAGATTCAGCCCTGACATCGTCTGCAGTACTACGCAACACCTTCTATCCCTCTTTACAATCCCACTCCTGCTCTGTAAGTTACAGAGGAACTGCAGTCCCAATTTCTTAGACCAGTTATTAATTCTCAGTAACAAAATACATTTATTGACGTATAAAACATTTTTACAAATTTTGAATAAAGCACAGCATTTTTACTTAGTGAAAGTACTGTATATTGCCATGTTGTTGTTCTGTGACATGAATCTGCCCTTCCTGCTCACTAGTCACTGCAATAATTAATGTAATAAGATGTACCTACGAATAAGTACAGGTTGTGAAGCAGACATTTCACTGCAGAAACATGATCTGCGAGCAGAGTTAACAAGTTGTATTTGTAGGCAAAACTGTCGAGAGCAATATTTCTATTGGGTTAAAAGAGATGTATTACGAGCTGCTTTGCCTCATCTAATGTTTTGTTGCCTCATTCTGAATCGCAGAACATGGAGCTGCACATACCTGGAAACTTTTTTTTCCTATTTTGCGATGTAAAGTGAAGGTTTTACAAGTTACTGTGTACCTTTTACTTTTATTGGGGTTTGAAACGCACTCATCAATGCTGGTTCTTTTAAACCCAGAAATATAAAAATAGTGCTGTGGTTCCCCTTTAATAAATACAGGAAAAAGAAAAGGTTTTGGCTTATGGCATGCCTACAGAAGTGCTATGTGTTTGTACGACTGCTTGTTTACAGAGACTACCATTCATATGCACATAATATACCATTCATGTGCAACAGCACAGAGTAAGCACAGAGCATTAGCTGCTGTTTGTGCAAATACTCCGATGATCCCAGACAGTGCTATAGTGAACTTGGTTGTTTAGAGACTCAAGCACAACTGTCAGGAGATCACAATATTTTGACGTCTTCTTGTGCAGTCACATTCTACGTGAGCAACACAGCTGTTTCTGTTATGAAACATCAGCTTAAAAAGTAAAACCCTTTTATGAAGGATTAAGGAATTTGATAATACATTAATGGAAGTGCTACAAAGCTGAATGTATTAGTACAGTGATTTTTCTCCTTGTTGTTCCTAGAAGCTATTAGAAGTACAAAACTGTGTCTTTCCCGTAATTAGTGGAAAGGCTATGGTAATATCGCTAGAGTCTGCATTTGTGCTCGGTCCTCTTCAGCAGATAATCAATGAAATGCATCAGAGCTCCTAGATGTAGGCAGCTGCATTGTCATCACATTAGTATTACTGTGTTCGCTTTAAATACAATTGACAAGCTGTGCACCAATAAACGCAAGATCTCATAGCACAGATCAATATCTGGGAGCAGGAGCAGCGAAATGCATTTCAGCCTTTGCAATGAGGTCTGACGTTCTGCGTTAAGAACTTCATGAGTCTCTCGCACCTTGTCAAATTTCTCGGCACAGAAATATTAGGCTCTCATCGCTGCATAATGCAAATAACTGACAACGACCTCGGCATGAAAGCAAATGTTATGGGGGTTTTCTGAGGCACTGACCCAGTTAAGAATAAAAACTTAATTTTAAGATTTGGTCTTCTGGCCTGCATGCCGACTACATTATTTGGTATCTCGAAGTCGTCCCTCTGTAGGCGTGTACACATGGGACAGTTTCATTATTGCTTCTCTCCCTCTGCATAGTAAGGTCTCCGACAGAATTGGGCAACTCCCCAATAGCTTTACCCTGCTCTACTACTCCTTTACAGTGTCCAGTCCATGACATCACCCCACTGTTTGAGCCAAGCTTCCAAGATAGGCTCCCAGGTGCCTTGACCCCTGCCCGAAATGAGCAGCTTCCTATTATTAGGCAGGCCTGTAGATAAACCATTCCCCAAAGAAACACAAGAACAAACTGTATTAATGACCCATATTGACAGCCATCATTAGACAAGCACATCTTTTTCCTCAGGGGACCTCCACGCATGCTGGGGGTCTTCTGTTCAAAGGCCTTCTATTTAACAAACAACTCAATGACACACGAAATTCACATTATGTTGTGCAAAAAAAAAAGGCTTCTCATCCTGTGTTCCCACAGAATTCTCTCTTGAGTTCCCCATATTGCAACCCGTTACACGATTTCGATATGGCATCTAAGACGTGACTCTGTTTGTCCACAATACCTGTACCAGGTCTGAACTAAGTTCAACAAGCCATCAACAGTTCTCAGAACACGAGGACCAAGCAAAGTGAGTTTCGAAGGAGAACACAATCAGGCTTCGAACTGTAAAGATATTGTATTCTTCAAGAATGGATGACATGATGTGACTACACAAAAAGTATTAACACACAGGACCGCATCTTGGAAAGTACTGCAGTATTGCAATCTCGCATGATTCAAAATAGCTTTTTCCCATCCTTTCTGCATTCTTGGTGTAGTTCCCGCCTCTTTCAACAGAGGACAAAGCCGCCGGCTCCTACCTTGACTGCAGACACCTGCTTGGAAGCTTCTCCGGTAGGGACCGAATCGCCAAGCCACTCAGCTCTGCGAGACTGCCGAGAAGAAAAAGAAACTGTGAATCCACCGGCAGAGCAAAAGAGCCCATCACAAAACAACAGAAAGATTAAAAACAAGATAAACCCATCTGGCTCATCTTGCTTGTCCGATTGCTACATACAATTTTACAGAAGCAGCCTATTAAAAAAAAAACACAGGTGACACAGTGGAAGAATGTGTGAAAGGACTCACTTTGCACTGGGGCAACCAAGATTTAAGCAAACACACAAAGGCTTAAGATGCATTCAATTCAACTTTATTGTCATTAAACTTACACAGGTGCATAGTATAATGAAAAGTGTTTCTCATTAGTCACTCAGGTGCAGTATATAAAAAGGACAGAAGATAAGACAATAGACAGTAACACAATAGCAATAACAGTAACATGTAATAACATGTAACATGCTACAGAGAAGAGACACGTGGGGAAGAGGTCACACCATGTCATGTTATTAACCCCACTGACCAAGCCCCCAGAGCCAGCTGTGATAATTCACACTCCCTAATCAAGGTGTTGATAATTGTGCTTCATGTACGACATCATCCACACCCTCTCTCAAGATAATGGCTGCAATCGATGGACTAAGCTGTATTTTTCCCCCGAAGTGATGTTCAGATGAACAGGTAAATAGGAATGGGTACAGGAACATCACAGCACAGTCTTATTACACTGCAGTTTAATATCCGTTTACAAAAAACACACAGTAACCATTGATAATGACACTTCCTCTTCCTAGTGCAGTATCACCAAGATCTCTTTCAGACAGTTGAACACACTGAACTGCTGGCACCATGCTGTTTTTGTTTTATTTTGCACACCAAGCTTCAGTGCCCAAAGGGCTGAAACAAGCTGCTTGAGCCTTCGTATTTGTGACATTTTCCACTTTATAAAACCGAGCCTATTCTCCTTGCTTTGCGAGCGCTGCTCAGAGCATCCAGACCCCAAAGACCCAGATCAGTGATGAGTGAGAGCTCTCTGCAGACTGGACTGCATGCAGGCTTAAGTGCCCCCACATTACTGTGTGAACTGCACCATGCTTCCAGTGCTCTCTCTGGAAAGGACCACCAGCATCCAGCCTTGTGCCCAGCCCGAGGAAGCCAAAATCATTTGAATTCACCATAGTCGTGAAACATGATTAATAATGTGCATCTGTGTGTGTTTAAGTATGCACACCTACATACTTCTAAAAACGCAGTATTCAAGAGACCCCAGTTCCACCCAACAAAATCAGTTAAGATGCAACCTCTTGATTCTAAACTGGACTTACAAAAGGGTTTGTTCATATCATTCTTTACCTTTTGAATGAGAACAACAAATTAATTCCAATGCATGCTGAAACCTTCAGTGGACCTTAGGAACACTCAACAGAACTAGCTATTGAACAGCGTTTTAGTAAGGCACTGTTTCTCCACAGAGGTGGAGCAATTAACGACCTTTGGGTACAAAAAGGAACATGTAAAAATCTAAACACTGGAAAAAAAGGCTCCTGTGTCTCTGCGCTTTTACTTTAATTGGATATTATAAAACTTTATAAAATACAGCTGCATGCCAAGCGACCACTTGCGATTTACATAACAAATGCAGTTAACTTCAGACCAGTGAGAAAAAGACGGGTTTATTGCAGCACATGAGGAAATTTGCATGCAAAATTGATACTTGCAGCCTTCCTCTCGTATACAACATCAACCTTGCACAGCAGTTTTAAAAGACCTTGCAATACCATCTGTTATCGCTTAAATTAGCAATGCATATGATTTGCAGGAAATGTCTTTGGACTTTTTTTTTTGCATTTTAACAGGGCTATACAGCTGATCGGCGTTCAGCAATAATGATTTCATTCATTACAGAAGGTTTACCTTCTACGGATGTCTGGCAAAGATGATGATATTTCCTGACGCAGGCTTACATCTCAGGTGTTATGCTCAATCAAAAAGGATCATTAACTCCATTAACTCAGAGGTCAATCTGGAAGACCTGGATTTATTGGTGACATCCCACATTGTTTCATGTCACCATCATGACACTAACATTAACCAGTTTTTGCGTTTTCTCTTCACATCTGTAGAATTCCAAACTGTAGTGAAGCAAAGTAATAATCCATTTGGTTTTCAAACACAATTTGCATATTTTCACATACAGCAGGCTACAGTGCTGCACCATTTGCGACATACACCAACGTGACACAAATATGTGTTTGTAAACGCACAGCATTTAGCTTTAAAAACACACAAGTTCCCTTCCTTCCAAACCTGCAA